CATGATAACCTACCTGGGGTCTGACCAGCACCCCAGAGACCCCAGGTAAGTTTTAAACCATTCATAAGTGGTTTGACAGCTTGCAGCGGATAAGTGCCATGGCACTCCTGGTACCAAAAACACTAAAACGAGCAGCAGTAGTTATAGTACTTGCAGCCTTCCTTACCTGTAAAATGGGTGGATCTAAATATCATCCCTCATGGATGAGTGGGGTTTTCATCCCCTCAGAGGCCTGCAATCACGTATAAAACTGGAATTCAATAAACTGGGAATATATGGGAAATGAAAAAGGTTCTGGGAATTGTATGTGACAATAGAAAAATTGGATACATTTTCCAGATATTTGTTCATTTGATTCCATTTCCCCCTAAAATTTTTAATTATTTAGTCAATTTTTGAATATTTCTGAAAGTGTTTAGGAATTTCTGATAATTAGTACTATTATTCTAAAACTGAGACTGTGTTTTTCTACCTCCCCGATGGTAGTATCACTCAAACCTGCTAACATTCACCAGTTGCACACACTTTCAGAGTTATTCACTAAAGTAAGAATTCAAAGTGAATAACAAATGTAATGTTTAGAATAGAATGAAACACAAACATATACTGAAAGTTTCCATGCAAAATGAAAGTATATTGCTTGAGGTAAGAGTGCTGTAAAATGAAAATGACTTAAAAAAATTCACAGCTTTTGCTCTATCAATGTAAAATGTTGATTGTTCTTGTTTCTTGTTGATTTTAGTTCTTGTTTCTTTTGTTTGATACAGCGTCTCGCTAGTTCAAAAGCTCACACTTCAAGATTTATCAGTGCCAATCTTCCATGTAATAAATTCAAAAATCGCCTTGTTAATATTATGCCATATGAATCTACAAGGGTATGTCTACAGCCAATCCGTGGTGTAGAAGGGTCCGACTATATCAATGCAAGCTTTATAGATGGGTACAGGTAAGGTATTCATTACATATAATAACTACAGAATGAGCACCTTAGTTCAATTTATATGTATATGTGTTTATTAGAAAAATAAACACGTCCAAATGTATTTTTGTCAACTGCCTTAGTAATAGTTTTGCTTTCTAAATAAAAATGTATCTGTATATATGTTTCATAAAAACTGTAACATGCACTGTATATAAATACCAATAATAAAACTCCATGTATGCCTATTAGAAAAAAAGTCCACTGTTCCAAAAAATAGTCTTAATAAAGCAAGTACGTAGGTGGGACTAAAAGAGACACAGTGTTTGAGCTACTGTCTTGTCTGTAATATTGTAGTATCTGTGTATAAATCCTCGCCTGAATTTGCATTCTCTAGTACTCTCCTATTCAATCACTTGATCCACAACTTCCATCAATTTGTCTCTTAAGTTATATTGTACAGAATCTGAAAGGTTGTGACTTCTGCGTCCAAGATATCAAATAATATTAAACTTCCTTGACAAAGTGCTGCCCATCAGAATGTTGATTGCATGTTCACAAAAAAGTCAGTTACTGAACTACCAAAGAGATCTTTTTTGAAATCAATATATTTATATAGATTATATATATATAGATAGTTATATAGATTTAATGTCTTTTTTTGACAGAAGCATGGAGGAATGTATGCAAACACTATGGCCATCATATTGGCAATATGTATCTTGCTTAAAACCTAGTAGAATCTTCTATGCTATGTATTTAATTTGATTCTTTATGGTGAAGTGATGATGCCTTAGTTACATGGGCAACACTAATTTATAATGTAAATAATTTGTTTGCAATGTACTTTTTACCACTATGACCTACCTGCAATCAGCATTTTGTTACAAAAGAGTCTTTATAGAAATAGTGTGCTCTTAGTGTTTCATGGTATCAAGCTCTCAGTTTGCAATTTGCTTGGAACAAATTACATTTATTCATTTTAAAAACACTTTAGTTACTGAAGGATTCACTGCAGATGTCTCTTAGTATTAGAATGCCTAAGCACAACTGATTCTATAAGTCTTTGGAACTTCTTAGGATAGCGTTTTATTATTATATATGTTATTTACCTCTTCAGTGAAAAAAATAAATAAACCTAATTTTGTCACTTAAAGAAAATAGATGATAGTATAAATCACAAAATTAGCAATTTAATAAATCATACAATGAAAAAATACATTAAATATTGTAATAGAACATTTTATAGTTATATTTATATATTTAATTTATCTTTTGTTATATATCAATTAAAATGTCAGAACATTTGCTTGCAGTAAAATATCCCAGTAATTTAATGTTATGTTACACTAGTCGTCATCTGTGACATACAGTTCAGTTTTTAATGATAATACAGATAGAAAACAGGTGGATCAATTAGAATAGCCAGCTCATGGTATTTAACCAATATGTAATCTTAAAATATTGTAACCGTAACCATTCTGCCAAATTGCTGAACATTTCGTGGTTCAATCACTAAACATTCAATTGTGGTGACCTGGTTTGAAAATGTAGACGAAGACTTCCAAAGTAGAGAATGATCTGGAGCTTTTTTCCATCTTGGATACATTATCCTTAATTTTCATGTCAGTTTTCAACACACCCAAATGTTTATGTTAAGTAAATAATCACTCAATCTTGCATTTCACCATGTTGATTAAGTAGTAAATATCTGTATCATATTCCATGACAAATCCAGAATGTATGATGTGTCTTAGAAGCGTACATTTTCTTTATTAGAAATAGCAATAGATTGCATGCCATGTGTTATAGCTTTTGTAACATGTACAAATATATGTGTGAGACATTCTGCAACAATGTAGTATCTGTTTAATTTGCATAGACAACAAAAAGCCTATATAGCTACACAGGGACCCCTTGCAGAAACTACAGAAGATTTCTGGCGAATGCTATGGGAACACAACTCCACCATTGTTGTTATGTTGACAAAACTTCGAGAAATGGGCAGAGTAAGTTGAACAAGTTATCACCTATACTTTTTCTTGGGTAGACTTTACATGTTTTTCAAGGACACTAATCTATTTATATGGCTTTCTGTTTACAAAGTAAACAGCGTTATATTTTATGTTTAACCCCTTAATCCATTCCCAACGTTAGGATGCCCTAAAAATCGTGCCTTCCCTCCAGCCCAAATACTCACCCTCCTTGCCAAATCCATTTGGGGGGACACCTGAGAACCGAGGCAGTTCTTCTGCAGTAAATCCCGCCAATCCAAGTCATGTGATCGCAATGACACCGCGATCACATGACTCAGATCATCGGGATTGACTTTATAGGGGCTGTCTCAGTTGTCAAGATTTAACCCTATTCACATCAAACATTAGGTCATGTCACTGTTCCCCAATGCCCAGGGTTTATAGGACATAATGAAATGTTCTAACATCATTAAAGGGGTTAATGTTATTACATTGAAGCTATGATGTTCTCTGTACCATTTTTAACACTGCCTCCTTTACAGGAAAAATGCCATCAGTATTGGCCAGCTGAACGTTCTGCACGATACCAGTACTTTGTTGTTGACCCCATGGCGGAATATAATATGCCACAGTATATATTAAGGGAATTTAAAGTCACAGATGCCAGGGTAAGTTTATTTGAAAACAAGCACATATAGCTAGATAGATAAGATCGATATTGCAGACAATAAATATTGTTTCTATTATACCAAATAAAACAACACATGATCATTAAATGTTTAACTTGGATATAACATTCCCTTCTTGGCAGCATGTCAAATTTCACATCTGTGGAACAAAGCCCTTGGAACGTGGAAATGTTGATTCTGGAAGATATTTTTTTGAGTGTTTTTATGTGATTGGTTAACTGCTCTTATTCTTAGAGATTCTTATTTCAAATATATCCTTAGCTTTTTCATCACTTAAGGCTGTAAATATGTTTTAGTTATGTATGGTCTGTAGGTCGTGTGAGTTGGAAGGCTAATGTGGTGTGATTTAAATACTGCAGAGCAGATAACATTCCTAAGAAAAGTCTGACAAGCTTTACACATAATAATTTCAATGTTGGCTTTGCTGACTTTTTCAAGCAGCCAAGGCCTTATCCTCTTAAAGGCTGTACACATCAGGATTGTTGGCCAGTTTACTAAGTTGCTTGCACTACAATCTAATCCCAAGCTTTTCTCACATTGCTGGAATTTCAGGTTTATCTTACATTTTGAGAACCAGGTGCCAGTTCCCTTTTTGGGATCAGCTCCACAGCCATAGCTGATTTCTAATAAGTCAAATAATTTCAGTGTAATCACTTTAAAAGGGTAATATTTTTCTTAAACTCTTCAATGCCATGTGAGTTATCAGAAAAATAATGCAGCACTAATGTGGCTTTTTGCCTATAATACAAATAACAACAGTATATAATGATGTGCTCTGTGATTAAGTTACACAGATGGATTTATGATAACTTGATGATTTGCTTTAATTGCATTTCACAGGAACACAAGCTATGTTTCACTGGTATATGGCTAGACTTACTTGATCAAGTAAAGGTCCCCATGATGTTTTAATTTGTTTTACATCATAATAGGTCATGATAGAATATACCACTTTTTGAAGTTATTTTATGTCATTTTTTTATTATTCAGTTATTTTTGTGTATCTCACTGCATATGGTATTTTTCATTACATCTAAATATATACACACATGGGGAAAATAAATTACACCCTCTTTGAGTTCTCTGGTTTTACCTACAAGGACATAACAATAATCTGTTCCTTACCAGGTCTTAAAATTAGGTAAGTACAACCTCAGATGAACAACAACACATGATGTAAAACAGTGTGTCATGATTTATTTAACAAAAAGAAATCCAATATGGAAAACTAAGTACACCTTATGATTTTAATAGCTTGTAGAACCACCTTTAGCAGCAATAATGTCATGTAATTGTAACAGAATTTACATCTGGTGATAACTAGTGATGCCCCGAACAGTTCGCGAACGGTTCACCGCGAACGGTTCGCCGCGGACTCATCATTGAGTAAACTTTGACCCTATACCTCACAGTCAGGAGACACATACCAGCCAATCAGCAGCAGACCCTCCCTCCCAGACCCTCCCACCTCCTGGACAGCTCACTAAGAATGCAGCTTCAAAATGGATGCTGTCCAGGAGGTGGGAGGGTCTGGGAGGGAGGGTCTGCTGCTGATTAGCTGGTATGTGTCTGCTGACTATGAGGTAAAGGGGCAAAGTTTACTCAATGATGAGTCCGCGGCAAACCATTCGTGGCGAAATGTTCGCGAACCGTTCGGCGAACCGTTTGGGACATCACTAGTGATAACACAATTTACATCATGCTGAGATTAAGGTAGATTTGTCTTTAAATCTATACGTTTTGGGGATTTATCCATTTAATGTTGACACTTGGGTTAAAACACTGTGAGAGTGTCATTGGGCAGCCATTCTCCCACAGCACTTAAAGGGGCTGAAAAATATCATCATTCTACATTGAGATATCCCTGGGTCTCTCCTAATAGGGACAAGTGGGCAGGGGTAAAGCTGCTCACCCGGAACATGAATTGTGCAGGAATGGTGCTGCCGTAGTGACCAAAGCTTATCCAAAAATATTATACTGAGACCATAATTAATCATTTAGTCTATTCAATACATAACAAACAGGTTTAAATATAACTATAGAAAAGAAAAATCGAAAAGTATATAACTACCTACACCAAAACCCAAATCTGGATTGTAGTGAGCAAAGAAAAAATATTGAAACCTTTAATGAGATAACTGATACCGTATTTTAAAAGAGAAACTACACTGACTGACATACAATATTGCATCACATTGTATGAAAAAACATGTAAATTGAAAGTGTGGCAGTTAACTTTCAATAGTAAACATCTGTCTCAAGTAAATAAGAGCTCAAAGATTAATGCTAAATCAGGTACTTGGCCATGTCACTCAGCTCCAGATCTCAATGGAAACCTGCCATGGGCACTTCGTGTATCTTCCAATATCTACCTAGGTCTATGGTAGGAACATACATTGGCATACCAATGTTTGGGCCAGTTCACCAGTTCACCAGAAACTGGTGAAGCCTATGTTCTCTTTTATTGCTCTGTATCTTCTGATATCTGTCGTAGTGTAGATGGTTAGTCAATATTTCTACGTTATGTATAATTTAACTAATTTACACAGCAATTTAAAAGTGGAGCAGATATATCAAGAATTAAGTAAAATCCATTCCTTCACTACAGCATACTGAAAATGTGATATTGTTTAGCAGTTGTCGTTTTGTTTGTTCCAAGTTTGATTTCTCCAAGTTAGAATTGATCTAAGAGTTATTCTCTTGTTTCCATCCAATTAATGTGTAATGTAGCAAATCCCATAATCCCTTTCACCTTGAATGACTATTGCCTACATCTCTTACTGTAAACAAAGGACAATAAGGACAACATATTGATTGAAACATTCATCTAATTAGGAGTATCTAAATTACAAAATGCTTTTCAAATTCATAAACCTTGATTTCTGGTCACATCAATCAACCTTTCTGAAGTGGTACTAAAGTGCATACAAATAAATCAATAACCCCTTTTTCGTAATAGTATTCGATCTTTTGAGTAGGTATTTCTCTCTTATTTAGTATTTAAAGACACACTAAACTCTTATTTAAAAACTTTGCTCCCTTCATATAATTAAAATATAATATGCATGCTGCCTAAACAGAATAAAACACACATGTGCTGCTGCAGATACGTACCGTGCCTTATTCACTAAACAACAAACTGTAGTACATTGAAATCCACATTGTAAAGTTTAGGCTAAATAAAGCTGTGGTCATAGCTGTGTTTAAGATTGTTTTCTGAGACAGTTTTTTGCCTTAAAGGACCACTATAGTGCCAGGAAAACATACTCGTTTTCCTGGCACTATAGTGCCCTGAGGGTGCCCCCACCCTCAGGGTCCCCCTCCCGCCTGGCTCTGGAAGGGGGAAAGTGGTTTAAACTTACATTTTTCCAGCGCTGGGCGGGGAGCTCTCCTCCTTCTCTCCTCCTCCGTTCCTCCTCCTGGGCTGAATGCGCACGCGCGGCAAGAGCTGCGCGCGCATTCAGCCGGTCACATAGGAAAGCATTTACAATGCTTTCCTATGGACGCTGGCGTGCTCTCACTGTGAAAATCACAGTGAGAAGCACGCAAGCGCCTCTAGTGGCTGTCAATGAGACAGCCACTAGAGGATTAGGGGGAAGGCTTAACCCATTCATAAACATAGCAGTTTCTCTGAAACTGCTATGTTTATAAAAAAATGGGTTAACCCTAGAAGGACCTGGCACCCAGACCACTTCATTAAGCTGAAGTGGTCTGGGTGCCTAGAGTGGTCCTTTAATATGGCAACTCATTATAGAATTATCTAAAGTTTTGAATTTAGGGGAAATAACCTGTACATATTGTTTGCCTCATACTACCAGGACCCACTTGAGCTGGTCATGTAAAATAATGTACAAACTATGGAGAGTTTTAGTATAAAGAAGGAAATGTGTTAGGGACAGGTCCGTTCTAGAAAATATCTGATATATATATATATATATAAAATGGAATTGACAGCACTTTTAGTTATCACTTTTTCATACTAGTGAAAATCCAATATTTAGATTTTTCATAGATTTTGGCCTGGTAGCGATGGTATGTTTTTGTTCAAATGTCATTTCAATTGCTTAAAAAAAAGCTATCTGAAGAATAACCATGTGCCTTTATCATTATTCCCTCTTTTCTCAATGCCACATCCTTCTTAGAAGTATTCTAAGCATGTTCTCTGCTCAACCAACAAGATATCAGTGATAGCTGAACTGGTGACAACTTTCTGCCCCCCACGGCCAGATTTACATGTCAGATGCTTATAGGTACAGAATTTGAAAAGGGTTCTGTAGGGAAGTGCTCCTCAACCCTCTCCGCAAGGCATACATAACATTCCAGGATTTAGGGATTACTCGGGTGTAAAATAAAAAATAAATTAAAAAAAACTCCTTAGAGTCTATGGTGTTTCTATTTTTTATTAATTTTTGAAATATTTTAAAATTATTTATTACACGCTTATATCGCCATGACAGCAGATGCAAGCCAATGGAATAATACAGAATAAACAGTATCATGGCAATCGTTGACAGCACAATTTTTGTTAAAGGAATCAGGCTAGGCATATATTTCTAAAACATTGGTCTCAACCAGGCGGGTAGATACGAAAGGTAGGATAGACATAATGATTTATATCAGGAACGTACGCAGATTAAACATAGTTTAAACCTACAATATTAGCGATGCTACTAGGGCTGCATAGGTGTATGGGTAATGCTAGAGTGAACATGCCTTTACTCCAATGCAACATATGAAACAAATGAGACTATCAGGAGGGTAAAATGGCAAGAGAACTCAAAGCATGGTTTAGATTGGTTGTAGGTATAAACCGTACTAATATGTTTGCTAGTCGACATGCTACATGGAACAGGTTATTAATTACCACTGGGCATGAGATGAAGCTAAGATAATAAAATAAACAAAATCAAAAAAGCAAAACATCAGAGTTTAAACAGAAGGCTGAAGGGAGAAGCCTAAACTTTGAGTCACCCAATGCCACATAGAGTCCAGCTTCAGAGCAGGTCAGTCATCTCCGTACTCCCTCGCTCGTTATGGTCAGAATTCGCTGAGTGTCTTCCAACCAGCAGGGAATGACACCGGCAAGTGTCTACCCCGCCAAATGGGAAATCCAGCTCTATCTGCTCTAAAGGCAATCACTGCTCTGTCATAGTTAAGCTGTGGGTGCTATGTTTTTTTTGTTGCCAAACTATCTTTCTTACATTGTTGATTATTGCATCTAAATGTATGATGTTTGATGAATGTTGTTTTTTTAAACATTTGTAAAGACAGCTTGTTATTTTAAATAAACATTTAGTTTGTTTAAAAATATTGCACACATTCGGTGAGCACAAGTTGATTATACATATAAATCCTGTCGCTTCCATCTCAAAAAATGCAGCGGTAAGGGTTATTTTCCTGTCCGCTCGCACCTCCCACGCCTCCCCGCTCTGTCAGTCCCTGCATTGGCTTCCAGTTAGATATAGGGCTCAATTTAAAACTATGGTGCTTGCTTACAAGTACCTACATAATGCTGCTCCAACCTACCTATCCTCCCTAATACACAAGTATGTCCTGTTGATGCACCTACGCTCTGCCAAAGACCTACGCATATCCTCTGTCCGTATGCTCACCTCCAAGATTTCTCCAGGGCTGCACCTCTTCTGTGGAACTCCCTTCCCTTCTCCGTAAGACTATCACCCAGTCTCCACTCTTTCAAAAAATCATTGAAAACTCACTTCTTCAAGAAAGCATATCAATTTAACTGTTAGCAGGTTTTTATCCCCCATCCTCCATGACTCCTCTCCTGCAACTGTCAAAAATGACCTACTAAGCCCTCAATGAATACTTTTCTAACAACCTACTTCGTACCCCTACTTTTACCCTTTGTGTGTAAGCACTTTGAATGTAAGCACTTTGAGCAGGGCCATCCACCTCTCTGTTCCTGTACGTCCAATTGTCTGGTTAAAATTACATGTCTGTTAGTCCACCCATTGTACAGCTCTACGGAATGTGATGGCACTATATAAATAACCCCTGTATAACAACTCAACTTTGAATTCTATGTGTCGTCTTGCTCAGAAATGCTTCAGACTTGAGAAAGAGAGGTTCTCCCGAAAGCTTGTCATTAAAAAATTCTGTTAGTCCAATAAAAAAGGTATTACAAGATACGAATTGTATTTGTTTTTTACATATATATTATATATATATATATATATATATATACATACATACACACATATATATATATATATATATATATATATATATATATATATATATATATAACATATATATAAATAACTTGTGTGTATATATATTACTGTTTCGTATCTCCTGGATGTCACAAGTTGGACTTTTAGAAGAACTTCTTGGGCATAGAAACTGGAGAAATTCCACAACTATCTCAGAGTTCCCAGCTTGGTATGCAAATGAGCAATATGCATTGTGTTTCAGACTTCATACTGAATTTCTGCAGATACCCTTAGCAATGGACACTGTCACAGCTATATATATATATATATATATATATATATATATATATATATGTTTGTATGGCATATATAGCTATGTAAATATGGCAACTGTTGTGTA